TGAAGTACATAAATTAGGCATACATAATATAAACTAAATTTCACACTATTTTTTGTATACAAATAACTGAATTTAATTAGATTTATTATATCTATTTAAATTAGTTAACTATTATTATTATAATTTAATTAGATTAGGTGTTAAACTTTTAAGAATAATAGATTAATATCCGATTTCACATTAGTAATTTTAATCTCAATAATGACTTAATGTGTCAAGTAATCGACAACTTTGGTGACTTAATTAATACTTAAGTTAGTTTTAAGACTTAAATTACGACTGCGAAATTAGTTCTAAGACACACATCACCATTTCTTAACTTTATAATCCAATTTCACATATCCTAAATTTTTGACATAATTTATCAGATTGAGTTACTATGTTAAGTGGTCTTAAGGGCATGATTACTTCCCAACAAATCAGAGCAGCTCATACAGAATACTTAGCAATACTTCTGCTAAAGTTTAGTATTCCTTATGAATTTTACTTTCCTACAATAAAAATGAAAATTTTCTTTTAATAATGTCTTAACAATTTACTTTGCGAATTAAACAAAATTAAAAATTTTATTTTCCGAAGATACTTCTTTTGAATATAAAAATAAATTTTTATTACAAAGCAGCATCGGTAGGTTTGCTTAACAGATCGGTTGTTGTCTACACTATTTTATATCTGTTATGAGCAGCTGTTGAGCACTGCACAAAGCTTATTTCTTGCTTTTATGCTTTGTATTTTTTGTTATTATAAATAGCGCCCGAAAATATATTTTTTAAATTTTTTATATAATAAATTTTTCTTCTTAATTAATTTTTATTATAATTGAAATTATTGTTAACTAAATTTATGTATTTATATAAATTCAATAAATATCATTTTTTAAAAAAAACACTGACATATGCAAAAATTGCTATATTATAAATATTGCTTCCCAAAATTTGTCAGACATCTTTATTACTGATTATATATACACCAAATTGATAACGCGATGCATCATCATTATTACTTATAATTTCAAAAATCACAATGCCATATAATTTATCAACATATTTATATTTGAGTTTAGTGAATTTCAGTGAGTTATAATATAAATGTTAATTGCTAATAAGTTTTTACTAGTGACACCATACTTGCAGCGAAAACTGGTACTATGATATTCAGTTGCCTCAGATATTGAGTTGGGTCCATAAGAAAGTGTTGTGATGGCTAGCGATGAAACATAAGGGTAAGCAAGCCTTTATGCTTTCATTCAATGTTGAGTTGCATTATTCAGACAAGTGCTGTGACCCAAAGAACAACAATAGTTTAATGAGACTTCGATGGTCTATAAGGTGGAAGTTATATCCAATCATAAAACTTCAATTGGTATTAACGCAACAATTTTCTGAAGGCACTTCAATTGCACATTATCCTTATATGTATGTTAAGAAGATATCTCTATAAGTTTGCTATCACTGAACTGTATGATACAGTTTTTCATTAGACATCATATAGTCCATTCATTCGAAAGATATCAATTTTAAACCAATTAAATTTAATGTGTGTGTTTCCATCATATACAGTTGTATGCGTTTTGTAAAGTAAATGGTCGTCGTTGAATCTTAGTATAAATAAATTGTTTGAAAATCACAAGAAAAGGGCTTTACGTTGCGGAGCACATTTAATATATGGCTAAATATACTATATAAATGTGCAACAGAAATTTTTATGCATGCTATATTCGACTTGCGAGCTATAGATTCGCCATTACTGTACTATCTGATATTATTCAACTTTTATCTACATTGATGTTAAAACTATTTAACTCAATTTTATAGGTTTTCGTCATTTAGAGTTGCATACTGTTTATTAGGTGAATATCTATAGCTTAATATATATGTTCTATTTACTTATCACGAGTGCAACAATCAACATACGCCCAAAAGCTACCTTTTATTTATTCAAATATTTTAACATAATTCAGAGACTCATACAGTTTATTTGTTCATATATATACTATAGGCATATGTGGGGAACAATATATTTTTAACTTACTACGACCTAAACAAAATATTAAATTTTTACTATTTTCACTAAGCTTTAAACACACACATAAAGGGATTTTAAATTATACACTGAGGATACTTATACATATGATGATATATCATAAATCTGTTAAAATCCTATAGAAAGTTGAATAATAAGATTATGTGTTAAGTTGTGACAATGATAAGCAATTCTTCTTCTGAATGGTTTTTAAAAAGGAAACACACAATTGTTGCATTTCACAATAATAGCACAGCATTTGTATCAATTTCAGGACTGCAATTGGGCTATGTGCAAAAACATCTCTTACAAGCATCTTACGCTTGCAGGAAATGCTGGCTGCTCGAAAACTTAAAACCGTCCTCATTGTTGTCATGTTAACGTAGCTTTTAATGCCACAATGGACTCGTTCGCTACCATTCAGTGCAATTCAGATACGATTCATGTATCTGTAAGCAACAATGCCAAGATACAAAAGGATTTACAGAGTGTCAATACACTTATAATTTCATTTCTTCATACTTTGTGTAATTGTATACAAGAGGAAAGTTTTGCTGTACTCGTATTTTGACGCCAAGCGCCAAATTGCAACCGCACTGAACTTGGCATTCTTTGAGGCACCAAACCGCCAAAAGTGCACCAGTTGCAGTTTGGGTTTTGAATTTCTTCGAAAGTTTGGTTTCTGCGACGAACTTTACGGCACAACTTCAGCTCACTACTTCTGTGAGTTAAGTGAAACACGCTTCAGGAGACCGTAGTCAGTCGGATACGACTTGAGACGTCTCCGAGGTATCGAATTATGACACTTTTAGTGGTTTTTAAAAAGGCAAAACTTTTCATTTGTGCCTGCTGTTTTGATTTGTTTTGTCAAAGTTTCTGCAATGTTTTTTTAAAAGTTCATTTCTTATTTTAAATTTGGCTTATATCGTACTGAGTTTGTTGAGTTTGCTGAGTTTTACACAATTTTGACAATAAAGTTTATCAATAAAATTAAAAGAAAACTTTTTAATTTGATGCATTATTGTCAGCGGAACATTTTTAACACGTACCCAGACGCACAGCAGCAAAAGTTTAAACATGAAATGTTATTTGGACAGAACACACATAATAAATAAATTACATTAAAAACTATTCGGTATCAAGAAATCTGAAGTACAATATGTTTAGATATATTCTATTAAGACAATTTTGCAATTATTTACTAAACAAATTAAATATGTTTACACTTTAGTTAGAATTATTTGAGGTTTATATTTAACAAAATCATTCTCGAAAAGCTACAAATATACTTTATCTCTGAGAAAATTAAACAAGTTTGCAGTTATTTACTAAATAAATTAAATTAAAGTAAAAGATAGTTATTTTAAGATTCTCTTCAACAAATTCATTCTGGAAAAGTTACAAGCTTGCGCTGTCTTCAGAGGTCATGCTATATAGAGATACATGACCATGTCAAATATGGAATTGTTGTTGTCTTTAATCTAAAAAAAATATAAAAAATGAAAGAAATAAAATCACAGTAATGAAGTTTCATGTGTATCGTCACCATTGTGGGAAAATAATCATCGTGATATGATTCGAATAAACATACTAAGCATTTTGAGCCATGACTATTCCACATATGACACTCTATATAAAATAACGTTCCGAAGTTATTAAGAATAACTATAACTATGCTAAATAAGACCGCAGTACAAATGTCATCAACGTGCATAAGACAACATCTCGAAAAGTTCACCAACTTATAAAGATATGAACTTAATAGTTCATCCATTTGCTGATGATATAACAATCGTTTCTTGGAATAGAAGTGCACTTCTCAAGCTATTTAAGAAAATAGAAGCATCAATATTGAGAATTGGCTGACGAATTATTTACGATATATTGAAATGTATGGATATATTTATACATTGTGTTAATATAATTAAACAGTTGTTGCAATTACTTTTATTAATCGCGTCTCGAAAGCTTCCTCAATAAATGAAGTGGTAGGACTGATTGATATACCATTCTCAATGGAGTAAACAGAAAAAGATATTTTAGGTTCAAACCCTTTTAATAATTTTGGGCCATTTTACATATAGTTCTATGTAGTTTATTTACAATTAAATATTTTCGAATTAACTTTAAGGTAAGATTCTGAATATGCGTATGACTATCTCTTACGACCTTATGCTTTAAGCTTTAGAACATGTTCTTGATATAAAAAAAGAATCATAATTACTTAACAGATCATCGCAAATCTTCTACATGTAGACGTTATAGCGATCAGTTATTGTATTAAAATCAATTTCACAAGCTATTTAATTTATTAATTCTAGCAGCATTAGAAATTGGTTTAAAAATTAGCTAGGAAGATATGAAATACATAGTTTATTATAAACCTTAGATAGGCCACATGAAATTTTAATAATATTGAACACATAAAAAAAATTTAAATGATACATTATAGCACTAATTTATATGCTCAAGTAACTATATATACGATTATTTTAAAATAAATAACCTATGCAGTATTTTTTACTATTATATTTATATATTTTAGTTATAAATGTAATAACTTAGTTTTTTAATACAAATTTGAAAGCTTGCAGCCAAAACCTTCGCAGAAAAATTTTAATATCTATTCGTAAAAATAAAAATAAAACAATTTCATTTTTAGCAATTCTTATTTTTGAAATATTATTTATTAAATAATAATATAATTCCTATAGCCAAATAATTACTTCACGAATTATAATTTCACATATAAATAAAATTATTTTAGATACGTACTTTTAAATGAAATCACTTAAATTTATTAATCAAACTTAAATCAAAGCTTATCACAGCATTCCACATTGGCAGTTGTTAACTTTAAAGTAATATAAAATTAACAAAACAAATTAATTTAATTATAATATTCGGAAAGGGACTCATCCTTTGAGGTTAATAATTTTGTTCTTCGCTTCAACGGGTAAACTATTCGCGAATTGTTTCTTCGCTTCTGCTTTGTATTCTGCAATGTTATATTGCGTTTGCTATAAAATATAATAATTTTAATATTTTTTTTTTATTATAAAATAATATTAACAATTTTTGCATATTTATATATTAATGAAAATATGATTGTATTCAAAATTATACTATACTCACATTAAAAGCATCATCGAGTTCGATTTTCATTAAGCGCTGTAAGCCACGGAAATTTCGTCCTAGGATTCTTCCAAACTCATAACGAGAAATGGTGTACCTTTCCGTAGTTGTTGACATTTCTGTGGTGTTCTCTTCATCAGATTCGGATTTCTTAGTAGATAATTATAAAAGTAATTCATAATAATATTAATTGATAATAATTAAAATAATGTTTTAGTTTTAAAAAGTTTTAGTGAGCAAGAGGAAATTATACATATAATAATATATTTTTGATCGGACTACTTTGTATGATGTAGAATATAAGTATATATGTTATTTGTATATACTTTAATAAGCTAATTTTAAAAACGATTAAGGGATCAAGTAAAATTTCTACCTGATCAGGTTACATTAAGATCGTAAGAAAAATAAAGTGATCATGGCACTTAAATCCAATCTGTAGGTTCTCAGATTCGAGAAGATTCAAATATACTTATTACATATTATTGTTTAAAACTATTAGAAAATTTCATTCGAATTCAATAAAAAGTATAAGCTTCGAAATTTTATAAACATTTTGTGGTTAGACTTATATGAGAAGTTTCGAATTTACTTATATACAATTATTTTAAATTATTTAAATATTTTATTACAATTCAAAAAAAAAAGTTTCGAAATATTCAAAGTATTTTGTTATCAACCTATTATATATAAGAATATTCAAATATATCTATTACATATTTTTGTTTTAAACTATTCTAAAATTTATTATTTATATTTTATTTCAATTTAAGAAATAAAATAAGTTTCGAAATATTCAAAGTATTTTGTTATCGACCTATATAAGAAGATTCGAAGATTAAAATATATCTATTACATATTATTGTTTAAAACTTTTCGAAAATTTTATTTGAATTCAATAAAAAGAATAAGTTTTGAAATTTTCAAAGTATTTTCTCTTCAGACTTACATGAGAAGTTACATGCGAAGTTTCGAATATGCTATTCGAAAGGTATTTTGTCTACATACCTACATAAGAAGTTTCCAATATACTTATTATACACAATGGTTTTAAGCTATTCCAAAATTTTATTCAAATTCAAAAAAAGAGTAAGCTTCGAAATATTTAAGATTATTTATCTACAGTCCTATATGAGTAGGTTCGAAGTTTCAAATATACTAATTATATATAATGATTTTAAATTGTTCGAAAATTTTGTTCGAATTCAAAAGAGATAAAAAGGCAGTAAGTCTTAGCACGATTTTAGTATAATAATATTTGCAATTTTTTTTATAAAAAAAAAAAACAATTCATATATTAATAAAAAGTAGAAATAATTATACTTACGGAACTTTCAGTAGTTGGTGGTGGACGCAATGTAGGTTTCATCGGAGCAGGATCACTAAATGCGCTATTGAACATATTATAGACTTCATTTAAACTGTTTTTTGTGTCAATAAATTGCTAGAAATTTAAAATATTTAATTTTTAATATAAAAAATAATATTTATATTTAATTGTAAACTAGACTTACATCAACAACCAAATTTTTAGTGGTGATGACTTTTTGAAAGAAATCCCAAAAAATGCCACGTTTCGTGCGTACTTTTGGTATTAAACTGGCTTCATTTATTTCAGATCCATCCATCAGTTCACTATTTTCATTTTGGATATAATGCGAGGAACTTACAGTTATGGCAACCAACAAGAAAAATATGAGGACTTTTACCACCATGATTATTAGCAGCGTTTTGTCTGTAATTGGAAAAGTAAAACTAAATTAAAATAATCGAAAACGTTGCCTGCAAATTGGCATGTATCTGATAGATTTATTTTAAGCTGTGTTTAAATGCTACAAGAGAAAGCTGCTTAAATATGCCATTATGTTTACATTGACATTACCACAAAAACATAATCAGCTTAAAATTTGAGTTCCATTGGCGTGATTGCTTGTATAAATAAACATAAAATATTATTAATTAATTATATATAACATGCATTAAAGAGTTTATTGGACAGACAATAGTTCTATATTGTTTATGTGTTAGCTATGTGTTTATTTGATAAATAAATAAAGTAATGCATAAAGCTATGATTTTCTATATTATAATAAAGATTTTTTTTTTTTTGATACAGATTTGAAATACATTCAAAATTTGTTTTATATTATTTTATTGAGAATGAACTGTAATAATTTATAAATTATAATTAAATATAAAGTGTTAGATTTTGAAACAAATTCAGTAATAACTACCATTATTATGACCATTATTTTGCTTTAAGTATTACATTTATAGCAAAAATCATGAGCGTATCTAAGAGGATCAAATATATTGGAAGCAATATTTTATTGAAAAGTGGACACATGGAGATGTGTTAAAAAATAGATTTAATAATATTTAATGAAATCTAACAAATAAAAATAATTCAATTATTCTATAATAATTTACGATTTCGTTCTAATATAAACACAGCAAGTAAATTTGTTAATAAAACATTAATAGCAAAGTAACAAAACTCCAAAAAAATGTGCGAACATAAAAGTCAAGTACGCTTTGGTTAAATCAGTTGTTTAAATTGCGCTGACTCTGAGCTTCAAATTTGACAGGGTACGTGTTCGTTGCCTAGTATTTGCAGACACAAAAAACTATTTACGAATAATTAAATACAGAAACTATTTTCAAGACCACTGATGATGTGAATTTGGCAATACTTGAAACAGCTGTATGGTCAGCCAAAAATTAAATAAATTAAAATAATATAAAAATGAATTTTTGTTGTTGTAGTTCATTACTTTTCGAAAAAACTGAAATATACTAGTTTCTATTACATATTTTAGTCACTTTCAACTGAAAAATTGACATTAAATTACAACTTATAATATTTAATGAAATTTAATAAAAAAAACAACAGATATCGTGTAGAATTATACATTATTTCCATTAAGTTGCTTTGTTTTTTATAAAGTGATTGTAATAGATTGGTAATATTGTTAATTAATCTTAATGCAGCACTTTACTATATATAGGAAACAATAGTTAAAAGAGCTAAAAATACAAAGTATACAAAGTTACAGGTTATATTTATTTTTTACTTAGTTTTATTTTATAATTTTTTTAAACTCGCTTTTTTCATTTAATCACAATTTTTAACAATTATTTTGCTGAACTATAAGTGTTTAAAAATTGTTTTTAATTAATTTGGCACTGCAAAGTCTAACCAGAGGCGAAAAAATATCTGAAAAAATATTCATATTCAAACTTGGAAGGAATAATAGTTTCAAGCACTAATTAAAAATGGGATGTTCTTATTTTAACTGTGAAGTACAAATGAATAAATTTGCTTTTGTTACTATATAAGGAAAGGAAGCCGAAAGTAATTAATTCAAAAATTTATGTTTTTGTATGTGCCACGCTTAAAAACAAAAAAAAATAACAATAAATTCGCAATGATAATAGAAATTGCAAGTACAACATTTTCACAATGAAATTCAAGAAATTTGTAAGAGCACAAATAATGTAGGAATTTATTTAAACAATAAAAAGGGAAAAATAAACCTAAGATACTTATGTAGACGGCAGATTTACAGTAAAAATTTAGTAATTATTATATATAAGTTTTCATACTGGTGAATATTGCTAGTATATATATATACATACTTATGTGTTTATATGATGTATAACATAAATTATTATTTTAATTATAAAAATAATAATAGAGAAAATATTTATCATAAAAGTTTAATGGGTTAAAATCTAGAACGAAAAGTAGCTACATTCACATATATTTCGGTGCGACCAATCTAGAGGAAGAACCAAACCTTAAAGTTTTCCAAAAAAAATAAAACCCTAGATCACTTCAAAAGCTTAATTTTTCAGCTTGAGGTAAACAACACTATCATTATTTCCATATTCCATTAGGAACTTATGGAGTCTATAAAATTTTTCTACTGGTTTATATTTTGTGCTACTGCTCTCAACTCGTTAAGCGATTTGTCCGTCTCCTGCTGAACTGTCCTTCTCTAAGTCATTGTTGGTCTGCCTCTGTGCCTAGTTCCCTGAGGGTTCCAAGTAAGTGCAGCATGCGCGATATCTTCATAAGGCTTACGCAGTGTATGTTCAATCCAACCAACTTTCTTCTTATCCCGCTGTTTACGTTTGTTTGGTGCGTCATTCTCCATAAATCTTCATTTGAAATTATTCTAGGCTCCCACATGTCTAATATGTTGCGCAGACATCAAATGATAAATGATTGCAGTCTTTTTTCGATTTTGGAGTTAGCGGGTTTTCGATCCAAAGCAATACTACATGCATCAAGAAAACACAAACAAATTCGACTTTTTGTTTATAAGTTTTTAGAAATAATTTTTATAATTTATATAAATTTTATTGAAATTGAATCATTATTTCATTGAAATTGTTAAAAGATATAGTAAGTATTTTTTGAATAGGAAATATAGGAAATATTATTTATAAAACATCTATATGGGTTAAATATCTATCTTAGATGGATAGGTATCTACAGTGGCATTTATTTTGGTACTAATGACTTGGCTTGATAGAAGGCAATTAAAATTTTGTATATGAATATGAAAGTTTCTCTAAAAAAATACTTCAGATCATTTTTTCGGCCAGAGATATATAACATCACATTCCTTAGAAAGTTCAGACCATTGTAACAATTTAAAAAATTTTTATATGAATTAATCCAAGAAAAAGCTGCCTTCCAGCCAACTTACAAAGCATTGGATTGCATTTAATTTTCATTTCTTTTCAAATGTTTTTTTGTTTTGTTTGTAAATAATAATAATATATAATTTCTTAGTTTTTTTCAACTTTTTTATTACAGTCAAGTTACGCGCAAATGTGACATTGAACACAAATGCAACGCATTTCTTTTTAGCGACAATTTTAATGAAAATATGAAATTTCCTTTTTGTATTTCCGCTGAAAATTTTGCATGCAGCAAAAAGCATGAAATTTTTCCTTGAGCGTCTTAACCAAATTGTGCTTAACCATGAAGAAAAAGAGCGCTTATTTATGCTGTGACTAACTGCAACTAAAATGTCGTCTTATGCACCAGTCCCAGCTCCAGTCCCAGTCCCAGACCCAGCCCAAACACCAGCCCCAAACTCAGTCTCAGCCTCAATCTGTCACAGCCTTTGCTCCAGCTTCAGCCCAGGCAATGTTGTTAGCAGTGGCAACACTTTTAAGACCGTCAGGAACGAAAATGTGCGGAAACGGAAATTTGTGGAAATCGCCTTAAAATGATCATTATAAAAAATAATAATGAAGCAGATAGTAGTGCAGACAGGCAGGAAGTCAGGGATATGTTCGCTGTGAAAGTGTATGCAACTTGCCGCATGCAAAGCAACAAATTTCAATCTGTTCCGTGTGCTGCAAGCGTAGCAAAAATTTGTATGTAGAAATGCACAAAGTTGCCATATTTTTCTTAATTTTTTTTTTGTAGTTTTTTATTTTATTTAATATTTAGTCTTAAAAATAATCACAGTAAAAGCGTATAAAGAAAATAAAGTGTAGAGGCGAAATGTGTTTAACGAGAAGGATGCCAGTTTTATGATTAAACAAACAAATAAGTAAATTCAGTGCTCTTGAGGCATTTTTAAAAAAATTAATTCCACAAGTTTTTTTGTCGGAAATAAAATTTATAGAAGTGAACTTCCACAGCTTTTCTTAAATGAACAATAAAAAATTGATATAATACAAATATAAGTTCTTGTTGTTT